TTATTTACTATATGAAAAGAAAAWTTACAACATACAATAATGGGGTGATAATAATGCTAACTAGATAAATAATTATGAGATTTGTTTATTAAGCTATTCGTTTAAAAAAGAAGAGTTTTCATGCAGTTTCGATTTCAAAATGATTTTTCATGGAAAGGCAGCCGAGGGAGTTCCGCAATTTAGAAGCAGCAACAGAAAAGGCTCTATCACCATAGTTAACAGTTTTAATTTGGAGGAAAGAATATCAGCATGTTTTGTCTAGAGGATCTAAGAGAGCGACAAAATATACTTCATATCCTATTTAACTAGCGAAAAATATAGTTAAATGACATACGATATAACTGACATAAAGTTCCTCCCGGTGTAAGGGTTGTAAAACTTCGGATTACTTTCGGGCCCACGTGCACAGCTAGCGGCGCATGGCGAGGATAGCCGATGTTATCCGAAGTCCCGCGTACTGGCTTGTTAGCTTGGCTGCTCTGTTTGCGACTACTTACGACTTTTTATCGACTGGGAAACGTTTGACCAACGTGTCAAACCATGATTCGGTAGGATTCAGTGATTTCTACAAGGTAATCGCAGCCATTTTTGTAGTGAATTTTATCTGGTTTTTTTTTGTTTTTTTTTTGTTGAACAAGCTTAAGGCACACAGGTTTCATGGAATGTGCAAATGTTGTTTAATTAAAGTGTTTCAGGTATTTGCAATATCTAGAAAGAATTTATCGCAAAACGACCACTGATGAATTGGCGCGTTGTGCTCTAGCACACGAAGCATGTTAACAATGTCGCTTCATGAACGATTGTTACAGCACCGATGCGATGTGAAACTGATTTTTCAGTGACAGTATTTGAGCCCTTTAAAGGGATAACTGAGAATATTAAGCCCTGAATACCTGCAAGTGAATATTCTACATATACATGATTCAAAAATGTTGCTGTGTATCTATCAGCAGTAGACACGTGCTCATCAAGTACGTATTTTTGTCTGGGGTGGCCGCGTAGCAATGCAAATGGCGGAAACTACTAATTCCCTAGTAAATCGTCCAACCTCAACGCATAGCTACGGTTGCGGAAAAATACGGTGCGGGTACAGTATGACAAACAATTTTCGTATGAGTGCCACGTAATTTATCATTTAATTTCAAATTTAGATTAGTAAAGTGTTATCATAAAAATAGTATGGTTTTCATCCCAGTAWTTAGATTAAATCAGAGATAAAGTTTCAGGGTTCGATAGAATTATTGAAGTAACCGAGAATGACAATACGGAAACGAAAAAGATGAAGAGCTCTCTTTATTAATTAGTTTTGGGCTTCAAAACATTTGATGGTCCATTTTCCAGACTAGACTACAGCTWAGTCCTTTATGTTTTAATTCCGCCAACTTGGACCAAACATCGACTTGGTACAACCGCAAGCTCAGACTGCATTAGTACCGTGGTCTTTCAATGAAATATGGGCTTCAATGATCAAAAATGGCAGAGAAATTCGAAAATAAGTAACTTGTACCGCTCCCTGTGTAGATGTGCTCAAGTGGCTTACAGGTGTAAACCAGTCACGCCATGGCAGACAGAAAGCCACCAGCTTGAAATCTAGTTAATGGTTTGATAAAATAATAMATAGGCTTTATCAAAAAGCCAACTGGAACTGAGTGAATCAGTTTTCTAGAAGTTTCTCGCAGAATCTTTCTATTTTAGTTGTTTTACATTTGTCATGGCGCACTACTGAACACTGGAATGGGAATAATCATCGAAAGAATTCAAGCTAATGATCTCAAAAATGAGATATTCGTTCAATAACCTGCATTACGTCATGCATTCTTTATATATCAAGCAATTTGGTCMAACCAAGTGACATCGCTATAGGATACACGCATGCCACGGATATCACGCTGATACAAATGATTTATACATGATTTCTACAATGTTTCTATGAGCAGAAACTATTCATTCACTTACGAATTACAATTTTARAGTTTTCCTCTCTAAAACCGTTAGCTTAGCCAGAGAGTTTAGRTGAAATGTGCTGAAATATTAATGAGAATCAGTCGGTAGAATAAAACTGCTAAAACTGCTTTTACAGGAACCTGTCGAATACTAACCTTCTCAAAAGAGACCGCTTCAGAAATTTAATTTTTTAAATACATTTGTTTTGCAAACGTAATGGAGAGGAAAGATGATTGGATAAAGGAAAAGAATAACCTGTGAAATAGGCAATGCGTCGTTTACGAGTTTCAATACAAAAGAGAAGTTAGAGGCACACTAAATCAAACAATCTACTCTATCGCTAAAGGGATTCATCTACTTTGGTTCGTYGAAACAACCCTATAGTGAAAATGCTCCTTATTTTGGTGTTGTGCCTATGTATTGCAACGTTTTTATCCAAGCCTACTGACGRAATATCTACTGCTATCAGACGATCGTCGTCACTCTTATCGTACCTACATGGTCATTATAAAAGCGCAAGATTTATTGATCCGCTCCGCAAAATAGTTTTCATTCGCTATAGCGAACAAGGTATCATAGTATTATAGTCACTATATCATGCACTACTTTGCGGGCAAAACTCGGTCACTTTTTATATTTAATCGTATTATCATTATTATTATTCTGATATTATTCTGGATTTGAATTACTTAAGGTGGTATTATACAAATCATGTGAACATTTTATTGAAAAAGCATAACAACAAACACTTTATTGCATGTTATATAGAGAAGACCACACTGACAAAAAAATTGTCATGGTGAACCCAATATAATCATAGTTAATATGAACCCGAACGCGAAGGAGAAAAAAGCGGTGGTTATTGTAAACCAAATAATGCATTGACTACTGACAAAAGAAATACACAATTTGTTCTAAAATATTTCTAAATAGTTTGTTTAGGACTCAAACCAACAAAARATGAGTTTTTCTCACTATTGTAGATTTAATTTTGGTAACAAGTAAAACATTTCACACAAAAAAACCTACAAGTTAGAGAAAATAACTTTTATTTCTTTTTATCTCTTAAATTTTTTTAGTTTTGTTTGGTTTAACTCCTAGAACCATACATTGTTAGATTTCCTTGTTGATTTC